AGCGCTTTGAAACGACTTGCTTCAGATGTTTTCATAAATCCCTAATGGCTCAGGCACTGCCTGCTATTGATAATATTAATGTGTTAATAGTTCCTCTGAAGCAGCGGCACTGGGTAGGGCTGGACACACACACACACACACACACACACACACACACACACACAAATGGGAATACCATGGAACTGGAAAACAATGCTTTGGCTTTCCCTTGAATTCTACCTGCACTTTGTTGACCTCAGAGATCCAGATCTAAGTGAGAAAACTGATATTCTAAATTCTTGGCTGGAGCTCCCCTTTAGTTTAAAATGTTTTACCTTGGTTCATAAAAAAGTATATTATATAAATACATATGTACATATAAAATCATGTGAGTCACCCATGTTCCTAGCAGCATTATTCACAATAGCCAAAATGTGGAAACAACCCAAATGTCCATTGATAGATGAACGGATAAACAAAATATTATTTTTATATATATATAAATAAAAAGTAATAGAGTTCTGACACATACTACAACATGGATGAAACTTGAAGACATTATGCTCAGTGAAATAAGACAGACACAGAAAGACAAAAATTGTATGATTCCACTTATATGAAGTACCTAGAGTACTCAAATTCACAGAGACAGAAGTAGAATAGAGGTTATTAGTGGCTAGAAAGAGGGGGAATGGGGAGTTAGCGTTTAATGAGTACAGAGTCTGAGAAGATGAAAAAGTTCTGGAGATGGATGGTGATAATGGCTGCACAACAATGCACATGTACTTAATGCCACAAAACTGTATACTTAAAAATGGTTCACATGGTAAGTTCTATGTCACATACATATTTTACCGGAATTTTTTAAATGGGGGGAGAAAGCATGTGAGCAATGGACATCAGGCTTCTCTACAACTTCTCCCACGTGTGTTCCCAGCACAGGGCCCACAGCTCTGTCCCCAGGGCCTCGGAGCACCCCTGGCTCCGCCACACACACCTGCTCCCCCAGACCCACACTGGGCTTCCTTCGCCCTTAAGGAAATGAGAAGTTTTGTGTCAACAATTCCCCAGACATCCATGTGGCCCAGGGAAATCCCGTTTCAACCTCAAAAAGAAACTTAAGGAACCAAGAATGATATTTTTCATGATGTAATTTCTCTGCTGCCTTCCTAACAGACATGGTTCAGATTGGAGGAGTCTCAGACAAACAAGCACTCCAATCTCCTTGCCGGTGGCCAAAGACACTAAAGCTCTTTGCAGGCCCGTCTTGGTCTCTGGACCACCCCAGCCTCTGACTCATGGGGAAGATAGACAGGGTCTAGAGAGTCAAAGTTAGAAATAACAGGGGGAGTGGGTGGGCAGGGGTGGCGCTGGCTGGACTGTGGTTTTCCTGGACTCCCCTCTCTGTCTTTTGGGGTTCTTCCTCCCTGAGAAGCACTGGCCTAGAACCACTTCAGGATTTGACCCCTCACAGGTACAAGCAGGAGAACCCGGGAACCACCGATACTGTTGGGTCTGAAGGCAGAAAGGGGCGGCCCTAGCTGAGGCTGGTGACTACCCAGAAGTTTCTCTCAGTAACAGAACAGTCACTCGACCTAGCCCACAGGTTTTTCTAATGCTTGCTCTTTGGGGTCAGTTTATTTAAGAAATGGCCAGAGCAATCAAACCCTTGCCCTGGTCCCTAAAAGGAGACAAACATTGGCATAATCCCTTCCATTCCAAGTCACCCCTGGGCTCTCCCTTAAGTTTCTCCTACATGTCATTACCCAAAACCAGGCTGCCAAGAGCTCCTGGGTCCCCTCACACAGGCTTTGGCTCAGCTTTGCATCTACAATGTGTCATTGCCAGGCCTTCTTCTCCATGCTGGTCAGGAGGATGAAACCTACACCTGGTGATGACAGAAGCCTAATCAGAGCCCTCCATACAGATGAGGGCAGAACATGAGCATGATGCCTATTAGTTTTCAGGCTGACAGGCCCAATGGCAAGGACCCTAGACAAATAAGGGGAGTGGGCTAGAAGGATCCCCCACATCCTTCAAGGGAAGCCCCATCGGAAGGAGGTGGGGAGCAGAGCACAGGGCTCCCACTATGGAGAGAGGGCTTCAGGTGGGGTGCTGGCAACACGCAGCCCAATAAAGGCAGAATCAGAACAGAGTCTGAGATGTGAGCCAAGAAATGGGTTAAAAGCTGTTAGGACATGGAGCAGGGAGAGAGATGCATAATCTGAATGTCACCCAGAAAACTTTGCAGCCAGCATCCAGATTTTCTAAATCAACCACTTCACCAAATTCCCTGCCAGCTCATAAAATGCTTCCCTGACTTGCCTTCAGTTCTCCAAATGATACTATTTTATTAAACGGTGTTGGAGGTGGGAGGGAGGAGGAGAAGTGGAGAAAGAAGAAAGGAGTGAATTATATTTTTATTTTATTTTAAATGTAGTTTTTCTGTTATGCCTCCTTCAAGGCTGTCCTAAATTTGGTTAGGTCCAGGATGTGCAGGCCCTGATAATTTGCAAGGTTAGATTTAAATGTGCTATAATAGTGTGTGTATGTAGACTTGTCTGATCAAATATGCATTTAACATGCATAGGAATTCACTAAACAGAAGCAGAAAAGTGTTCAACAGACTCTAAGGAGTGCTTGTGTTTACGGTGTTTTGAAATATATTCAAGAAAACGTATTTTGCTTTATACATATACATTTGCTTTTCCTCCTAATTCTTCTGGAAGCCTGACCATTTTCACTACTTCAGCATGGGCTCACTTTGGCGGTTGAAGGGAGTATGCAAAGTTGCAAAGTGCTTTTATATTTTAAAAGGTGCTTCTCCCAGATTGCTCACGGCTGGTTGATGGTCCTTCTCTGGATTGATTTCTTGTTTTTCAGGCTGACTCAAGTTCTCAGACATAGGGGTGGGTCAGCAGCAGCTGGAGATCTCAGTGGGATCTCTGCACTTCAATGGGGCCTATTTGGAAACAGGATCTGAGCTGGGGCCTGCCTCTTTCTCAACCTTGTGTCCAGTGGGCACAAGGATGCATTAAGACCCTGGGGTAGATGGCCAAGTGACCTGTGAGTCAACTTAGCAAAAAGAAAGAAGGAAAGAGTAACAGAGTGAGTGTAGTATGGGGAGACCTGATGAAAGGAGGAACAAGGAGGAGAATGGGAGACTCAGGAAGCTGGAGGCTTCACACATCCTCCTGGGAGCCAAATGCATTGTCATGGGTATTAGCTCATCCGACAGGAGTCCTCAGGAGAACCCATGTCAGGGTCCCTGACAAGCTAAACTGCCAATCCTAGGAGCACAACCACAGCTAGCTGAACCTACAGACCTTGGGACCACACCTCAACCCTCTCCTTCCCACGCTCACCCCAGGACAGACCCTGTCACCATGCAGCCACCCATGGATGCACCAAGCTTTCTTTGGGCCCACTAGAGTACAAACACTCCAAACACTGATTCAGTCTGTATGGAAACCACAGGTCAGAAAATCACCAACGAGGCAACAACCACCTTCACACATTCCCTGCCACCAAATATCATCCGGAATCAACCAGGCTTGGCCAGTGGAGAAATTCAAGACCCTCTCCTCAAAAACTCACAGATACATGGGGACCACTGTTTCTTTTGGACGCCCATTCGTGGGGAGTATGTCCCATGGGCCTTTTCCTAACCTCACAGCTGTTCACACTCGCCCGCTCCTGAGAGAACTGGATCCAGATTATCAGTGACCCTTCACCTCCCCCGGCCCTCCCTGGCCCCCCTCCATTTCCTGAGCTGGGATCGCCGGCAGAAGTTGAGTGTTTCCTGTACTGGAGGGACTTCTCCACCTTGGAGCGGAAAGCGGGTCCGGGGCAAGGACGCGGGGCGCGTCGCCCACGTTGCTGGCCAGGGAAGCCGAGCTCCTCGGATCCCCACGGTGCTTGGGTGGCGCGGCGGCGTGTGGGGAAGATGATTACACTGGAGAGGAATCACGACTCTTCGCGCAGCTATCACTCGCGTCGCTCCGCACGCGCAGGTCCTGGCCCGGCTTTCAGCAACTCCCCCTCCTCGCTAACCATTCGCTGGTAATCTGTGGACCGCCGTGGAGCTGAGCCCCGGGCTGCAGTCCCAAAATTAAAGCACTTTTGCAGCCCGGACACCCAACGAACTGCCTCCGCACGCGCCAGGCCGGCACCTCGTTTTCGTGCGCCCCCCTCTCCGCCCAGCTCCCCAGCAGCTGCAAAGGATGTGATTTCACGCACATCCTGCGCGCACAAACACGTGCACACACGCATTCCCCCTGCAAAGCCGTCCGCACACACGCACAAGCCTGGACGTTTGCCTTTTGTGCTCGTTTTGCAGGACATGCTTTCCTGCTCCTGGTTTCCTTTTTTCGTTCTTTCATCTCCGCTTCCTTCGCCAACTTTCCTTCGGAGTCCCCTTGGCCTAGTTCATTCCCCTCCAGCCCCTCTGCCCCCGTGGCGTCCCTCGCCCTCTCCGCCCCAGAGGGGCCCCGGAGACGCGCCGCGATGCCGAGCGACGGCCGTGTTCTGCGGGCGGCTGAGACCGCGGGGCTGGCCTCCGGCCTGCGCCCTGTTTGTTTTCCCTTCGCCCCCTGAATGCTAGATTAAGACGTAAAGATTACCAGGACCGAATAATGCCGGGAGTCAACACTCGAGCAAACAAAAGTGCTTGCACAACTCCGCCAACCCCGCTGAGACCCGGGCCGCGGGCTGAGGGAGAGAACGCGCTCCTCGCTGCTAATTACAAATAAATGATGATGTGCTCACTAAGTAATTGATTTAATGAAGTTCCTATGAAACTATTAAACCCGGGTGGAGGTCAGGCAGGAGGCGCCCCAGAGCGCCCATTGTGGGCTGTTTAACTCCACCAGGCTCCTCGGAAAGACATCGGGGCTAATAGGTGAAGTCACAGCTGCTCGAGCTGACTTCTCGGAGCGCCCGGCTGGCCGCGGGCACCCTCGCGCCCTCCTCCTCTCGCGCCCTCGTGCCCCGCCGCCCGCGCCCCGCGCCGGCCAGCTTACCCACGCCACTCCCAGCCCTGCCGCCAGCTCTCGAGGGCCTCTCCAAAGGGATCCCGGGTCTCGTTAAGAGCGGGAAGTTGAGCACTGAACTTGTGCGCACCGCCGGCAGTCGGCGGCGTCCACCGCCGCCCACCCCTCCCGCCTTACCCAACCCCCACCACTTCGTGCAGGAACTTCAGCCAGTGTGCCACGCAGGGTGCTCGCGCGCTCTTGGCAAGGTGCCTGGAACCCGAGCGTGTGCCCAGTGCGATGGTGGGGGCGGGGGGTTGAGTTGTGGCCGAGTGGATATGTGTGTGTGTGTGCGCGCGCGCGCCCGTAAGTTTCAGGCCAAAAGGCCATGTTTTTGCATCCCTCACCCTGGCCTGGGGCCTGTTCGTGCAAAAAAGAAGTAGAGGCAGGGAGAAGGGGACCGAAGAAAGAGATGCAAAAAAGATCACCCAGGTAGGCTGTTGGGTATGGGAGCCTCAGTCTTAGATTTTGCAGACCGGCTGCGGGAGGGGAGGGGGGTGCCGTTCTGGCATAGCCCTCTCTCCTCCCCACCGCCCACCTCTGCCAGCGTCCAGACCTGGCCAGGCGGTTCCCCGCACTAGAGCGACACCTCCAGCTCCCAATAGGGCGGAAGGTGTAGGCCGTAGGCCCGAGTGTTAGGGCTGACAGATCGAAGGTACTCCCCTTCCCCGCCTCGCACATAGATCCCAGCCCTACAGGAAGGTAGGAACTGCTTCTCCTGCAGGATGGCTCCTGTGGGAAATGTGACCTTTCCCCATCCCAGAGGGCTGGAGGGAGTCTGGTGGGACACATTCCCGAGAAGGAGAATCAGACATGTAAACGGATCTAGAGTCAAGGGTGCTAAACTCCTGCACCCGGCAGCAAGGGTCCAAATCTCTCTCTGTCTCTGTCTCTGTCTCTGTCTCTGTCTCTCTCTCTCTCTCTCTCTCTCTCTCACACACACACACACACACACACACAGGAAAGAGCATTTGACTGCATCTCCTCCCACCTCCAAGGGACCTTGTGATAAAAGAGAAGGCCCACGTCCATCTGGAACTCCATACCAGGAGACAGGGTCTCCCATGGAGGGTTCTGGCTGCAGAAATCAATCTGCCAGGGTACCCTGCACCCCTCTACCCAGCCAAGTCTTGTCTCTCCATTAAGAACTGGTAGTTGAAAGAGAATTTCTTAAAGCATGCATTTCATTTATGCTACACTTAGTTGGCAGTAAGCTTCACTCCTTTTTTTTTTTTTTTGGTCAGGAATTTCCAGCTGCTGAAACCAATTTCCATTTGATTTTGAATCAAACGTTTGGAACTTGGGATGAGAGGATATTTTGCAATGGTTGCTGGCACCCTAAAACAGAACTCCACTCCTGTCTGGATCTTCTGTCTCAATGAGGGTTTCAACTTTGGACTCCTGGAGGGAATATTAAAAAAATCTTCTCTGGGTCTTGCTTGAGGTCTCAGTTTCACCGTCTGTAAAATTGGATTGGAGGTCCTTGGCTGAGGTCCTTTGGGCTTTATTTGTTTGTGATCTGAGAAGAGAACCTGGGGGGGAGGTGGGCGGGGGAGTCAGTAAAGACGCCTGTTCCTTTGTCTTTCTCCGTAGAAGCTACTCCCTTTGTAGAATAAGGCCCTGCTACACTGTCTAATGGATTTTTGCAGGGCAGGGTTTTCATTTTCCCCACGCAGGAGCAGACGAAAGAGAGTCGGTGTTCCAACCCAGCGAGTCCCTCGTGGCCCTTGTTTGCTCAACGACACTCTCCAAAACGTGTCCAAAGTAGTGCTGGCTGGCGCACACCCCTCCCCGGCCCAGGGCAGATGTTCCCATTTTGACCCCGGCCTCCTTGTATTCCTTTAACGCCTGCTGATGACTGCATCCCTGCTGCCCTTAATGTAGGATGGGCCCTTCTCTTCAGCCTGCAAATGAGAAGTGACATTTGCACTCGGCTCAGCCAACGCGTGAGCAGAGCGCGGGGACACAGGCCCATTGACCAAGAGCGGCCGAGGGGCCAGCGGGCTCGGCGGCATCCGAAGCTGCCTTAATTAATACCATCTTAAATAGTCCAGCAGCCACCGAAGACGAAGTTGAAGAAAGACTTTAAGGCTGAGTGCCCCTCGACAAGCTCTTTTTCCCCGTGTCATTCAATATTTAATGCGCCCGCTTCTAATGCTACTACTGGTGTTCCTTTCTCAGCAAGGACATTATTTTTTCACGGTGCCCATAGCCAGGGAAAGCCCTTTAGGCAAAGAAAATCAAAATGTTTGTTGTTTTGGATGACTTATAACTCTTGTTTAACACAAGCACTTTCAGGAAAGTATAACAGGCGCAGCCTCCAAAGCAAACAACACAATCCTTGTGACAGAGTCGGACACAAAAAGCACATTGTCTTGCGGACTACCCCTTTTCTCTGGTGCTAGATGGGGGCCTGTCTCCGAGTGAACACCACGATGCCATTTCACTTTTGAACTATTGTTTTTGAGTTATGCCATGTGGTCAAAAGGAGCGAGAAGGGGGTTGTTTCCAGCCTCATAAGACAAACGAGTTGCCTTTTCATTGAAATCCCCCCGCGATCCTTGAAAACGGAGTTTAAATGTCACCTCCGCCTTTCTAATGGGCACAGGGCTGGAGGCGACCCTTCAAAGCGCCTGGGTGATAAACGACCCTTATTAAATATGGCCGGGACTGCTGGGAAAGCCCTGCGCCGGGCCAGCGCGCGGAAGAGCGCCCCTCGCTGGAGGGCCCTGGAGGAGCCGGAGCCGCCCCTGTAACCAAGGGCGGCCCGGGCGGCCGAGGCCCCAGCCCAGGCTCTGGGTCGGGTGGGGGATGGGAGCTGAGGGTGGGGAGCCCAAGTGAGGGGGGCCAGTTGTAATACAACTTCTTATCTGCCGCCCCCAACACGCCCGTGCGCCCCCATCCCCAGAGACTCGGCGTAAAAGGTTGGTGCGTTTCCCCCTGACTTCTTTTTGTCCGTTGCGGAGTGGCGTCTGCAAGTCTGAGCTGCAAAGTTACTGATTTGCAGGCTGCATGTTAAGGCAGCCCATGTAAGTAATTTCTCCGGGCACCCCAGCAAAGGAGAACAAATCGCTGACAAAGGCGAGCGCTTTCGATTCAGCGGCGTCGTTAAGGCAACCCCAAAGTATTCCTCCTATAATAAGTTCCACTTCAAAGGGTTTCTCATTCAGCGGTGACTGCTTCGCACTTTTATTAAGTCCGGGCTTTTTCACTCGGAGGAATCATCTGTTTGGTTATTTTTCATCGTGTTTATTTTTCACCATTCACACAGTACTTGTATTAAATAAACAAAGAACAATCGCTCTGCAAATGAAAGTACTTAGGTGGGAGAGAAGGAAGAGGCACTGGCGCTGTGGCGCTCCTGCCCCTTTCCCCGCGTCTTCCAACATCACTCACCCCTACCCCCACTCGACTTTCACTCCTCCTCTCTTCATTCTTTCTCTCAAGCTAGAAGGTTCTGGGGGGGAATCTTGACAAAAAGTAGATGGAAATACATATATATTATTATATAGCATACATATTATACGTGTAGTATTATATGTAATATATATATTTCTGATGAGGTGAAAATTGACTGAGCTTACTTGGCATGAAAATAAAGGTCAGTGCAACTGTATCTTAACAGAGTGTCTCGAATTGCTGTGGACCCTCTGCCAGCGACTCCTCTGGCCCTGTCCATTGCCATAGCAATCCTGACGCTCCGTGTGGATGTACCATAAAAGCAGTAGTTTGAATTTCAAAGAACATGCCTTTGAACTTCTCCCTGCCTGATTAGGCACTAGCGTTATGTGTGAATGTGTGCTGCGGAGTGCTTGTGCGTGGGCGTGAGGGGTGTGAGTTTTTGTTCAAGAAGGGAAAGTGTGCTGGGAATCCCAGGGCCGTTTCCCTGTGGGCCTCCTTCCCTATCCCTCCAGCCCTGGAAGGGTGGGTTTCGGTGGCCGTGGGTCTATTTTGGTAGACTACACGTGGATGGGGAAGCAGGTAGTGTGATGTGACAGGCTGAAAGTATTCGTAAGTGTCTGGATTGCTTTGTTTTTCTGTATTCAGCTTTTCTCTGACTTAAGGTGATCACTTGAGAAACTAGATTGTCTCCCCCCCCTTCCCCAGTTGTATTTCCTAAGCAAACTGGGATAAAAGAATACTCCTGGTGAACGTTTCTTGTCCCATTTTATAGAGAAAGAGATAGATAGGTAGGTAGGTAGATAGATAGATAGATAGACAGATAAACAGAATGAACAATTATGGTCTCAAAAAGCTTCCACAAAATGAAGGATATAAGTGACAAGACTATACAATACAAACATGTCTGCAGAGAGTTGGGCCTAGCTTTCACGGAGTTTGGGCCTCCTCTTTTCCTGTCCCCAGTGCTATCCCTCTTGTGTGGCCATCTCCAACTTCTTAAGAGAATATAATTTCCACTCTCAAGCTCTTTCTCAGTACTTTAGATTTTAGGAGCATTAGCTTGATCAAAGAACATCCTGAATGGGAAAAAATATACATAAATGACAAATAATCATGTGTTTGAAGACTCTCCTAGCCTGGAAAACAAAAGTAGATGATTTAAACAATGTTTGCTAGGGCCATGAGGGCCACGTTTTGCCTAGGAAAGATGAAGTCTTTGATGATAGCCAACTTAGTGTCAATAAGTGGCTTTCTTTGAGACATATTCAGATGGGAACGTCTTGCTTGCCAATTGCCATAGAAATCTTAACACACCATGAAGATTGTCCAAGCGCCAAGCCTTCCGTTCTGGACTAAATTACTTTGAAGTGGCGCAGGACGAGCAGTGGTCAATTTTAAGTCTATAGACTGGACAGAGAACGCTGGGAGAGGGAGATTGTGCGTTTTAAAGCAGAAAATAAGAAGGGGAAACTTGTTTTATAGACTCTATACAAGGTTCTGCTCATTGTCAACTATCTTTTATCTTTTATATTTCCCATGAATGATTCATGTCCTGGTGGCTTTGTGTCACCCCTTTTCACAGGAAACTTCATTAGAGAGCTATAAGTTTTCCCATTGATTGGGGGCCCTCATTTATGAGTGTTTTTCTCCTTCGTGTGCTGGTTATTGTCATTAGGCTTAAAACAACTCTTTGCAACCTGTTTCACCTTTACTACATTTAACAAACCTGACTTTTAAAAACCACTATAACCTTTTGGGAAAATGCTTACTGACATTATTGCCAATTGTTTTTCACTATTTGCCTTTTATCAGTTTTGTATCAGCTAACATAAAAACAAGCAAAGGTTCAGCCTTGTTAATGTGGACAGTCGATTACATTAGTTTAAGCCATTTGGATATTTTGTTGCCATGAAAGAATCTGATTTCTCCTTAACACCTGCCCAGAAATGCTAAGTTACTTCTATCCACTCAACTTCCAAATAAACCACAATATTGGATTCTGATCTCCCCATTACCTGATATAAGGTATTTGATGCCCACTACTCAACTTCATTCAGGATGTGTTTAACTCAATACTCATCTCGGCTCCTGAATTTGTTTTTACCTCCTTTGTGTCTGGAAGCCTCTCACTGTCCCTCTATCCTTTCCTCATTCTTTCTTACCCTTACTTTAGAGGCTAGGAATCTAAGAAATGCTGAAATTCACTTTTCAGATTTCCATTGATTAGGGTCACTAAGGATATTATTAATCTTAACAAATTCATGCAGCAACCCCTAAGATTTACACTAGCGTTACTTGCAACATACAGGGCTTAGTCTTCATAAATATATTGTAATTTCTAGATTAGACTATAAATTAAACCAAGCTGTAAAAATATTTTATTGCTTGGGGAGAGGCTAAGAAACAAAGAGATCAAGGGAAGCGACACTAATGTTCACTACTTCAGCAACCCGTTCTGTTTGTAAGAGAATGGCAGAGAGATGCCATTATGTAAAACATAAGCAATACATAGGAAGAATAACTTTATTAAAGTTTTCACTTCATAATCATTCTTGCTTTCTTTCTATTGGAGGTACACATTTTAAGTTTTTATTTAAGGTGTATCAGGAACCAATAAATCTGTGGCGGAGAGTTAACCTATGCATGGCAAAATACATAAAATACATATTCCTTTGTTTCATAATAAATAAACCTGTAGCATAATAAAGAATAGTGCAAACTACCATTGAAAAAGTTGTATAAATAAAACAACTCATTATAAATCAGGAATATTTTGTTCTAATAAGTTTACGATACATAAATTATCCCCCCAAAGTTATACCTTATCTTATTTTGTCTATTTGAAATAGCTTTGAAAGTGAATAATATGAAAATCAAATAAACTTTAAAAATGTAGAATTATTTTATATTCAAGTTTTATGGTCTTTTTCTTTATAAAGGAGGGGTCTGCATGTTTCATATTCACCGTAACAATCTGAAGACAACATTGAAAGGCTTTCAAAGTGACAGCACCATGCACTGTACTAGTAATATAATATATCTATAAACTATATATCATCTCGTCAACACAATGCAAAAAAGACATGCAGGAAGAGTCCTGGTTTTCACATTACGTTGTTCATTCAAGTAAGCTTAAAAATATATTTTCCCATTTCCTTTCCTTTTTTTTTTAAATAAACCGTGGATCATAAACGACAATCTTTCACCAAAACGTATAATTCTTTGGTGTGCTTTGAACTCTTCCAGGAAAAAAAAAAGGGATGATGTCTGAAAATAAATTAATTCAACTGTACAAATAATAGTGTTCACATACAAATTATTAACAATGACAAGACTCCATCACCCACTCACAGCATATAAAACAAATTTCTACAAACCCTGGGGAGGGGAGTCTTCAGGGTCTCTGAGGATAAATTAGTGCTCTTTAGTATATTGGTATGATGTTTATGATGGACTACATTTTGCACACAAGATGTGTTGTACCAACCGAAAATAAATTGACTAAGAGTTATTGTCCTGGGTCCCTGACCTTTTTCATCCTAGCTTGACAGCTCTGGCAAAGGTCACACATTCATCAGTGTTTGGTGGTAACTATAAACCTTTTAAAAATTTTAATATGTATAGCAACTCCCTCCCCTCTTTTAATGTAAATCATACACTTCACACACTGTCATTTTCAAATGGGATAGCGTTCGGTGTGCTCAGTGCTCAGGTGGAAGAAAATGCATTAAAATGCAGTTTCAGGTAATGAAAAATAAAGACTTTTTAAAAGGTTGATACAACAGTATAAGAGAAGGGTTGGCCTGTTTTAAAAACAACAGCTTTCCAAAAAAAAATCGGCATGTTGCCAACATCCCACCTCCTTAGACTTGCCTGTTAATTTTGGCATCCCAAAAAACTTAAGATCTAAAACATGGACGTAGCAAAGAGGCAGCATCTGAGATTTCAGATTAAAACAAAAAAAAATACCATAGAGGAAGAAGAAAGCACTTGATTTCTTCTATTTTATAAAATATCACAGTTTCACAGTTGTCTATCGCAGCAGCCTTTTCTTCTCTCCACTTTTGCTTGAACAATCACAGGTAGCACAATACATGGAGACGTATGAAGGTTGCTGCATCATTATTTTTTTTTCTCATCATACAAGCAGGGTAATGAAGAAATAATCCTGTATAAAAATATTGTGTTAAGATGAGATCAGTAATAAAAGAGTGGAAATTAAAAATTACAAGTATTAGAACTTAAAGGGTTTTTACAAATATTTTTGGACACAGGTACAGTCCAAGATCTGTTGGCCATGCAGCAAGTGTGTGGTTTACAATCAAGAGGCCTTTGCAGAAATAGGGCCCGAGGAGGAGGCAAAGTGGGTCCAAAGAAGCCCACGTTATGGTGTCAAAGGCATTCTCGAGGCACTCCAAGAAATGCAGAGGGCCTTGTTGCTGTGTCGAGTTCTGACTTAATGCTCTTTCTCTTCCCTTCTAAAAAATATATATATTGCATCGTTAGTATGTATCTTGATTAGCTAATCTCTCCATTCATTTTCCTTGGTACAATTTGCTCCCAGCCCTGTCCCCCTGCAACATACAAGTCCAGCTTGGTTGTTGTTTTGTTTGTTTTCTAAGGGGAAAAAAAGCCCAAATATCTTAATTAAATTAATTAAATGTACAAACACCATAGGGTTTCATACTGAATAAATAGGGCTCATTAGACCCGGTGGCAAGTCTGAGTCACGGGTTTGTCTCAGGCTCAGCATTGTCTCAGGTTAGGATATGGTCCAAGGACTCCCACTTCTGATTTTACTTATTATTATGACTAATAAATTCTAATGTATCGTCCGCACAACTTCAGAGTTCCCGTACATCTCCTCATCTTCAGACTCGGAAGTGGTTCCGTTGCTGGAAGGTGTGTGGAGGTGGCTGGGGGCCCCACTGGCCTGGCAAACGTACCACTCATTGAGGTTGGTCACCTGAGGGGAGAGAGTGCTAGAGCGACTCCTGGTTGGGTCCAGCACAGGGGACAAGGGGGCACCCACTGGAGTCCCCACTGATGAGTAACCCAGGGCGCCTGGAGACGGTGGTGGGGACTTGCAGTGAATCTTCATGTGCTTCCTTAGAGAGCTCGGGTGAGTGTAGGATTTGTCACAGCCTCGAATCTTGCAGTAGTAGGGCTTGTCGCTGGTGTGGACATGGGAATGTTTCTTTCGATCACTGCTGTTGGCAAACTTCCTGTCGCAGCCATCAAACTCACATTTGAAAGGCTTTTCCCCTGCAACAAAACATAGGAAAGGTTAACACTTGTTTTTCAGAGCTCTCTCACTTGAGAGAAATCTTGGAGCAGAAATGAGGAATCATTTTCCCATTCTCTCGAAGACCAACGCCCAGCCCAATTCCTATTCCTAAGTCCTACGTTCCAGGATGCAACAGGGAAGGGATACTTCAGGGATGGGCCTGATGTCCACGGGCCAGAGTCCCTCCTTGACGTGGGCTTGTTAGAGGCCAGATGTCAGTCCCTGCAGTACCACAGAGGCCAGGCAGAGAATGGCTAGCACATGGTCCAGGATTTAACAATGAAACCCAACTAGGACCCGAATAACAAAATTCTGTTCTCTTCATAAATAAAGGCACCTGTGAAACACACAATCCCACCACTAGATTTTTACAAGCCTCACTGGGCAGACTAGGCCGTTGGCCTCTTCGTTCTACCAGTTTTCCTCACAACTTGCAGGGCAATTAAGAGCCTAGCGGAACAGAACCTTAACAAGCGTTAATAAAGACCACAAGCCTCAGCCAGAACCTGGCATTTACCTGATGCCATAGGTAAACTTGTTCTAACAGCTTTCTACATGGCTTAATAGTCAAAAAAGATGGACTATTTACCAGTCTTTTGGCCCATCACCCCTTTTTGCTGCTCTGACACCCCAGAAACACAATGCCTTTAAACACAAGGCCCCTAGTCCAAGAAGTGGAAATCCTTAATAAAACAACTAGAAATTCAACCACACTACACCTTGGTATTAAAAAGCAAATAAGGAAGACAGCAGGTAACAGTATGAATTTTCCTTCTCACCTTAGTAACTATGAACTTGGTGAATTTGAGTCCATAATTGGACAAGTCATCTTATACATATCATTGTATAATGTTTTCCTCATATCTAAATGATTTTAAAAATAAAGTTGAATTTCTCCACATTTCAGCAGCTACTCTGATGACACACATGGTATGGCCTTTTCCTTGGTTTTTGATAATTTATTTTTTAAAAATGCAAACAACTATTAAGACAGCTTAGTGTGCATAAATTTTTGTGGTGAATTTTCTTATAGAAATATTTCAGTGTAGTTTTTAAAAAAAAATTTATTTCACCAATGATAACTGCTTCAATGCCAGAGTACATTAGCACATCTGAAAGTATTCAGATGCCTGGAGTATAACTTACCCTACTTGGAAATACTGTTTAAAAATAAAATTAGATATTCAAATATACCTCGTACATTGATCTATAGAGAGAGGGAAAAACACAACATTAACACCATGAAAATCACCATCTCTGAAAATTCTCTGTAGATGAGCTGCAACAAAGAGAGTTATTCAATTTTTATCAAAACATCCATTATTTGTCCTGATCTCTGTATTCCACTTTAAGTTGGAGAGGATACTAATTTAACATAGCAATCTTCGAAAAAAATTATAATCAGGTTTTCTTCAATATGGAGGTTTAATCGGTTTTATTCACTCTGTGCAAATATGCAATGTTGTTGTTTAGAGGTCTCATGTTTTCCTACAAGTTACAGATCCCGGATTGTGATGAATAAATGCAATAAATGGCTTGACCGTTTTGGGTTCCGCCACTGCACATGATAAAGAGAAGCAATTAGATCTAGTAGCAGGAGATACAGAGGGGAAAGACAGAAAATTAGGCAGAAGAGAGAGGTGAAGGAAGAAAGTAGAAGGGAAGGGTAACAGAATTGCCTATTTTATTCAGGGGTCCTAAAGGGCTCAGTGTGCAAATTCTACCTAACTAGACAGAGTGAGAGATGACCCCAGTGTTTACGTTTCAGATTCCGACAGAGGGTCACGTCAGAATTTAACTGCTTACAGAGTTTGAGAGAGTAAAGGAAGCTACGCGTGGTGTGGGTAACTCCCAGCTCCTACAAGTTCCCATCCCCAGGAGAACTCGGGTCCGGCCCAGAGGAAGGTTATAAACCGAACTGGGGGCACGTGGGTCAGGAAAGGGGCCTTCGAGAGTGCCTGGGGGATTATTTCCTTTGATCAATCAGTTTCGGGATCCCAGACAACCCCCCAAAGGGAGAGCGGCGTGGTAGGGAGGGGAGTCCGGGATGGTCCCTCTCTGGACACAATGCTCAATGGCGCAGTAGCCATTTAGGAACGCCAAAAACACCAGGCGCTGGTTTAAGTATGAACGTGAGGCGCTCGCATCCCTCCCTGAGGGACCCAGCCAGGCCCACGCAGCCCCGCGGGGCCGGACAGAAATGCAACCTAGCGCACGACATGGAACCAGAAAACAAAATGGCCCTGGGTCCCCTCGGCGCCCGGGGCCTCTGCCCCCCGCCCCGCCCCGGACGCGCGCACGCCCCCTCCCGGGGCCGCCGTGGAGCCGGGCAGCAGGCAGCCTGTCCCGCAGGGGCCAGAGAGCCGGGACCCGGGCAGCTCCCGCGCCATCGATGTCCAGTGCCTTGCTTTACGGGGCGGAAACGGCCCTCGGCTGCGAGCAGCTTCCCTTCCCGCGAAGGGAAGGTCCACTCCTCCTCCTCCCAGGCTTGGAAAGGCGGGAAGGGCCGGAGGCCGCAGGCTCCGCTTTTAGCGGTTCCCTTTGGGGGACGACTCCCCCTCGCGCGCCCCCTTGACGGTCCCAAGCCCCTGCCCCGTCGCGAAGTGCTGGGCACAGGGGCAAGCAGCTGGCTTAGCGGGCCAGGGAGTTTTTACGAGAGCCTTGTGGGAAGTTTCCGTTTGGAAAAATCATTAAGGCAGACTGATCCAGATTAGAAAAGAACTGAGCTGGCAAACGGAGCGCCCGGGAAAACGTGCTCCCAGCCCATCATCGGCCAGTCCACAGGAGGCCTGTCAGGTGTCGGCCGACAGGAGCAAGTCCCGGGGCTCCAGCCTCGGGCCACCCCGAGCCGGCTCCTCCTGCAGATCCCCCTAATGCCCTCGGCCCCGGCCGCTGGCCAGGCGTTGGGGTCCACGCCCAGCGGCTGCCTTCCTCACCGCCGCAGCGCCGATAAATCAGCCAAGTAATTACTGAATGTAAACTCCAGTTACTTAAGTGTCCTCCGAGGGGTAATATTGTCTGTTCCTATAAATCCCGACTGCGCTCCTGCTCATCAGCGCTTCCGCCCGACGCGCTCGTCCGTTCAAAGGCGGCACACGACCCACAAGAGCCATCCCACGGCCCCAGGCCGCAGCCGCCCTACCCCGGCGCTGTGGCACCCCCAAAGGCAGGGTTTGGTGGCGGGGTGGGAGAGGTTCCCACCGCGCTAGGGGCTTCCCCCAAGCTCCACAGCGGGGTAGGCCCCAACGACCGCGGTAGGCTGTGCAGTTCGCCCTTTCCTCCAAGTAGAGTCTTCTTTAAAACGACAAAAGCCAATTTTCTCCAGCACCCTTTAGGGTATGTGTGATAGAATGTGTGATGGCGCGCGTGTGTATGAGTGGGTATGAAGGTGTGTAAATTAGAACGTGTGAGGATGTATGTGGGAGGTGTGTGTCAAGGCATATGCGGGGGGGGTCCCAGCAATGAGGAAGTGGGGTGTATGAGGGAATACGAGTGCGTCAAGTCGTCTGTGATGTGTATGCACGTGAAGGGGTACGTGTGGGGTGTGCAACGGTCTGTGTGTGTTGTGTGTGCGTATGTGTGTAGCGGGGAGGTCTCCAGGGGCCCAAGGGCGCATTCCTTTCTCATTTTGCACCTCGCTCCGGAGGGATGGGACCTCGTACCTTCCTGTAGGGGCCACACCGAGCTCGGCCTGGGGCCCCAACACCGCAGAAAATCCCACGCGCCCCTCGCACGCCCGCTCTTGGGAGCGCGACGACCGCGCATGGCCTGACACCGGGTAGGGAGGGAAGAGCCGCCGGGGCGGCTCCTATTCCGGCCCCCCTTTCCCATCGCCCTCCCCCAAGTTTCCCGGGCCGGGCGGATGGGGGCTGCCGACCGTCCTGGGTGCCTTCCTGTTCCGGCTGCTGCTGCTTCTGCTCCCCGGCGGCGGCGGCGGCTGGAGCGCGTTGCCGGTCCCGGCGGAGGGGCTGCGGACGCGCTGGAGACTCCACCGTGTGGGAACCCAGCGCGAGGCCTGTGTGTGCTATCGAATTACTTATTCATAGAAAAAAAGGGGGGAGAGAAAAAAAAGAAGTCACATGTCCGGGTTATACGTATGCGAAGAGAAGCAGCAGAAGGAGGGAAAAATTAAGGCAAGCAGGAGGAGGAGGAAGAGAAGCAGCGGCGGAAGCGGCGGCGGCACGGGAGGCGGCGGCAGCGGCGCGGCCGGGGACAGACACCCACCTGTATGAGTGCGCTTGTGGATCTTGAGGTTCTCCGAGCGCGCGAAGACCTTGCCGCAGCCCGGGAAGGGGCAGGGAAAGGGCTTCTCGCCGGTGTGCACGCGGATGTGGTTGATGAGCTTGTATTTGGCCTTGAAGGGCTTGCCCTCGCGCGGACAGTCCTCCCAGAAGCAGACGTGGCTGCTTTGCTCGGGGCCACCCACGTGCTCCACCGTGACGTGGTTCACCAGCTCGTGCATGGTGCCGAAAGTTTTGGAGCAGGGCTTGGCGCCGCCGGCCGGGGGCGGTGGCGGCGGTGGCGGCTGCCCGGCCAGCTCGTCGGGGTCGATCCACTTGCAGATGAGCTCCTGCTTGATTGGCTGCCGCATGTAGCGCAGGAAGGCCCCGGCCGCCCCTGGGAGGTGGGGGTGGTGCTGGTGCGGGTGCTGCGCGGGCGCCGGCGGCGGCGGCGGCGCCGGGGGCGGCGCGTGGTGTTGCAGGTGGGGCCCCGGTCCGGCCGCCGCCGCCGCGGCTGCCGCCGCCAGGTTCAGGTTTAAGTTCACGGCTCCGTAGCCGTGCAAGGCGGCTGCTGCAGCGGCCGCCACCGCCCCGTAGTGAGCATCCCCGGAGCGCGGTGCGAAGGGCGGCTCGGCGCGGCCGTACAGCTCGGCCGCCGCGGCTGCCGCCGCCGCCGCCAGCCCCAGGCGCATCTGGCCGTTGAGCGGGTGCGGGTGGCCGCCGGGGGCTCCTGGCGTGTCGTGCAGCGCGGGGAAGAGCGCCGGGCCCCCGCCGCCGCTGCCGTCCGGGCCCGCGTAGGTGCCGCTGGCCGAGATGAACATGCCGGCCGAGTGGGGAGGCGGGGCCGAGTGCTGGGGGGAGCCGGTGCCGGACTGCTGCTCCCCTCCGAGCGGGGCCCCGTGCATGGCCGCCGCGGGGGCCGTGGCGGAAAGGTCCCTCCGGAGGACGAAGTCCCTGCTGTGGCCTTTGCCGCTGCTGCCGCCGCCGCCACTGTTGGTGGTGGTGTAGCCCGAGAGGGCAGGAGGAGGAGGAGGGGGAGGGGGAGGGGGAGGGGGAGGGGGTGATGGGGAGGGAGGAAGAGGAGGGGCTGGGGGCGGGGGCGCGGAGGGCTGCGCTCTGCTGCTGCCCCCGCCGCCGGGGTAGGTGTCGCCGCCGGGGTGCGCGACCGAGGCTGCAGCGCGGGCGGCGGCCGCCAGGCCCCCGGACTGTGCCGGCAGCCCCTGGGAGAGAGGGCTGAGGCCGAGCGCGCTCGCTTGGGCCATGTGCTCGGGTGCGAGCGGAGTGATGGCCACGCCGGGGTCAGCGCCCTGATCCCGAGGGCGGAGGTGCGCGGCAGCGGCGCGGAGTTGGGAGTGGGCGGGCGGGCTGGCCAGCGCCGGGAAGCCTGTCATATTCTGAAGCGGCCCGGCCTGAGCCGTTGCCAAATCCGCTAATCTCAGCGCTGGCGGGTTCCTCTTGCTCAAAGGGGGCTCCATCAGAACTACACAATCAGACCCATAGATCCTCTCTGGGGGTACTTTTTCCCTCTGCCCGCCTTCAAAAACATGTATATATTAGGCGCTCTTTAACTTCTTTGTCCTGGTCTCCTAACTCTGCTTATTCCTGTTCTCACTCTGTCCTCCAGCGATTGGCAGAGTGAACACCACATTTGAGCTGCACAGTGGGACCGAGATTTTGGAAATGGCACGGGTGGGATTGGAGGGAGCCGCGTGATTGGCAGCAGCCGCAGCTGCCCGATTGGCTCCCTTTCAGGCCCTCTGCCCAGCGGGGATCCGCCCCCGTGCTCGCGGCCGCATTCGCTTTCGCTTCGCGCCCCCTCCTCGCCAGGAGTCCTGCGTTCCCTCCTCCCCGGGGATGCCCAAGTTGCACTTGCAGAAAGTTTGCACCGGACCTGCGCGCGCAGCGCCCCGCGTTCCCGTGACGTGCCTTGCGGAGAGTGTGCGCCGGCACGCGGCCGAAAGGCGCCGTGTGGCCAAGGGCTGGGGACCCCCCGGGGGGCAAAAGGTTGGCGGGAGGAGCCCCCAACTTCAAAAACCTCTGTCTCATCGCACCCAGCATCCTCCAGCATTCAAACACTTTCTCCCTCCTCCCTTGGAGGTGTGCTCTGGGGACGACGGCGAACAGATGTACGCCCGTCATGATACTTGTAGAGATGATGCTAGAAACCTATTTGGAAAGGACACCCAATCTGCCAAGGCTCACATAGGGCGCACAGACTGCAGACGGAATGAGGAAGGATATTAAAGTCCTGTTGGTTGCAAAACAATTTGAGTGATGTGGCCCAGCAAAACACCAGGTAAACTCAATATAAATCTTTCCCGAAAAGAACCGTTTTACCTCGACTTTTTAGCTGATAGAATCTTCTTCAAGATGGTTCAAAGGAGTTGGCTAGAAGTGTAATCTCACTGCTCCTCGGTTCTAGATCTGCCACTTCCAATTAGATCTGCTGGGAGGGAAAACATCGGGTAGAGATTCTAACTTTTGCCTCTTGGAGATACAGTGGCAAGCAGGCCAAAAGCATCTCTCCAGAGGGAAGCGGCTCAATAAACAATATCCTTTAAGCAGAATTTCTCCTGGTCCAGAACACACTCCACTTGTGTGCCTGTTTCTTTGAAAGGACAACAAATTAGAATTGGTCCAATAAAATAATTATTTTAAAATCAAGCAACATGTTCGCTATTTATTTACTAATGGAATAACCTTTTACCTTGTTATCATTTTCTAATAAACTGATCTAGCAGGAGAGATGTCTTAGTTGAAAACCATAAAAATCGGCTTTCAAGAAAAGTGAGCTCCATCCCTTTCAAGTGATTTACTGTCAAATCAGTTTAAAAAGAGAAATAGGTTCCTGCATCACTTGGGCCGGGGCGGGGGGGGGGGGGGGGGGGAGGAGAAATGTGGCATCCTCTAAACTTTAGGATTCTTACTGCCCAAAAGCGTCACGTCAGCTTTTAAAAAGAAAGCATCTTTAAAATTTAGTGATGTTCCAAGATGCTTAAAAATTAAAGTCAGGGTTTTTAATTTTTATTGTGCTACCTTGCATAAAATTATTTATAAAAAACTGATAATGACTAAAATGTGATCTTTTTTTCCTTAGGGATACAATAAAACATGTAACCAACTTAATTCGTTTGCAGTCCAAGTAAAAATAGGCTGCGTAAAGCCGTCATCTGGGAGACGGTCCTGGGAAGTGGTAAGAAATATTTCCAAAGAACTGATTCGATAGCCCCCTTTACATTGGTGTGAACAGTGTTTAACAGGGAACTTCCCTGTGAGCCTTGGGAATGTCATTTCTCTTACAAAACTGACAAGCAAACAAAGAAAATGCTACAATCAAATTTCAAATGCGTAATTTCTTTAAATTTCAGTGAAGTTCAAATAAAGAGAAATAAAGGCATGAGTGCAAACACAACGAAAAAAAATTTAATAAAAAACAGTGACAAAATCAACATCTGTATTTGGAAAGGATGAGTTTTTTCACAATTTTTGTTTCAAAGACTTAAAAGGTCTCAAGCCAACCAGACAAAGGTGGAGCCAAGGACTGTGCCATCCCCGAGGATGGTTTATGGGGAAAGCATCACATTTGGAATTGGCACCACTGTCTTCATTTCCTCTCAGAACATTTCAGATGAGTTTCCTTTATTTGAATTTCTTGGCAATGAGTGTCAATACTTCCAAAATGGCAGCTTTGCGTGCAATCCTGCAGGTTATAAGTAAAAACAAAACAAAACAAAAAATGAGTGAAGAAAGAAAAAAATAACACAACCTAGCCTTGAATATGGATTGTTGAGCATTTTTATTGGGCAATAAAATGGGTACCTCCACTCCCGTCAAAATAGCTTTTCCTCAAAATTATAACTGCTTTGTTTTATTGAATTGCTGAAATTTAATGGTTTAATGGGTGAAGGCATGAAGGAAAAGCTGTAAAAATGTGAATAATGGTGCAGCAGAGCCGTGTGGAATCTGGAACCCGCCTCCTTGTACCGCTCTTGTTAAACACAGCGTGATATGTATCTGTCATCGATTTAATATGTCTTAATTCAAATATAGCTCCCTGATCAATTTCTTTTTATGGACGCCTTAAAAAAGAAAAGACTTTCTTAGGAAATAATAGAGATTTGGGTGACGATTGGAAAGAGGGATATTTACAAAGTGCGTTTAATGAATATTTGCAAATTTATGACTAAACCCAGACCCTAAAAAGATAATTGACTCAGGTAAATCGACTTGAGATGCTAATTCTTAAAAGAAAGAACTGAGAGCAAAATTTCAATCAACACCAATAAGGCGCCAATAAACCGCCTGCCAATTAAAAGCTGAGAATAGGCCTAGCTAGATGGTCATCAGAAAGGCTCGCAGTGGATTTCCGGGATTGCCTTTCTTTATAAAAGAGCTTTTTATTTTGTAGACTAGTTTTTTGTTATTGTGATGACCCGCCTGACCCCAGGTGCGCTGTTTCTTTTTCAAGCCGGTTGGGAACCAAACCAAACCCCCTTAACATACGGAGTTTCTAAGGACCCAATAACTGTGTCACACTTCCTAAATAAACACCAACAATTTCTAGGGCGTTGAAGAAAATAATACTAATTTTTTGTTTTTTGTTCTAAAGCAGGCGGCTATGGAAGTTGTTATGCCAGCTCTTCTGTGGATTGAGCCCCATATTTCCGCGGTGATGCTGATCGTCAGGGCCGATCCTCAAAACTTTTGCAGCGAGGTGGTTGTGTGGGGGCAGCAACGTGGCAATCCGTGGAAATGCCCTTTCTGGGGTCAACAGGTGTTCTTGGGTGAGCCTCGATTTCCAGACTTCACTTTTGCACCCCGAACCCCAAATTCCCAGCCTCAAACAAAGGTGCGAGGAGGCTGGGGAGGTACAGTAAACGCGGAGCTGGCCCGAACCCGCCGGCGCTCAGGTGCCTAGAGGCAACAGGACCCGGTCTCTGGGGATGCCCAGGCTGGCGCTTACGGCTTCCTGCTGCGAGGAGGGGGGACTGAGGCTCCCCGGTGCCCTCCGCTTGTCACTGAACACAGCCAAGTTTCCTTGAGATGGGTGTGGGCAATTAATAAACTCTAAGGGAAGTGAATTGGACATTTCCTGGCTTTTGAGCCTTTGTTTGATTGTTTCTGTAGGCGGGGGAGGGGGTAAGCCTGGGACGGTGAGGTGGACAAGAAAGGAGCTGAGGGACCCACGGAGTTGCCTTTTATTGCCGGTGAAATGGCTTTACATCCCTACCATCCTGCGTGGTTTCGCGAGGGCCGCCTCCTTGCAGAATGACTGCGTGCCGGAGAGTTTGGAGCGCCTAGTGCCATTTGGGCCCCGCCAGAGGCAGGTTCAAGGGCGAACAGGGTGCCCCGAGTTACCCGAGGGACCAAACGACTTTTGAAGCCCAGCGCAAGGGCCCGCTGGGTGCTCAACTGGGAGGAGGAGGGTTACCAGCAGACACTGGGGGGGGGGCGGGGGGCGGGACGGACGACACTCAGACCTCTCTGAAGCCGGGGCGAGGTGGGCAAAAGGGCCCACAAAGCTGCATTTTAATTGAGCTTTGTCATGGCTGGAAGTGATGAGGAATTTGGGTTCAAGGTCTTTTCTCAAATCAGGCTCGCCAAGCATCTCGGCAGTGAGTCCCCGGCCGCCTGCCTGGCTTGCACTCGCCAGGGATCAGATCCCCACCCGCCCGCTCTCATCACTTGCGATCTGACCCAGTGCGAGCCGCCACCCGGCCCAGGGGCCTTGGGTGCCCCAAAGCGCCGCCCAGTTCGCAGCCCTCTGGGCGCCTTTACAGACAGTTGCCTGTCCTTTCCCCTTTTCTGAGCTCGAACTGAATCCTTAGGCTCCACAGATACGTGTGGGGCTAAGAGTACCCAAAAATGTGCTTCTTGCTAAAGTTTATGATCCCTGTCCCCGTGTACATGGACTTAATGGGGATTTTTCAAAAAGCAGAGATTGGGACTCTGTGGCCCTCACTGAATGTTGGATTCAGAGGGTTTGGGGGTTGTTTGTTTTGGATCGTCAAGAAGTGGACCCATCCCAAGTCCATCTGACCTTAATGGTTAAAAGTCCTTGAAAAATTATGGCTCTCTTTACTTCCCCACTACTAAAAAATAAGCTGAGTAAAATTGGCCTGTCATCAAATATTCTCATTTGGTTATCAATCATTTTTACTCTCAGAGATGGGGATTGTTGAAGAATGGCTTTTGACTCGTTAGATTTGGTAATTTCTTGGGAACTGCCTAATTGTTGTGTTTTAATATATGCTTAGAAGGTCAAAACAGGAACCACAAAACTCCCATATGTGTTCACGGTTCATATAATCACCCAATATTTATTTATATTAGCTCCGAGACCTACTTCTCCCCTTCACTCCTTATTCTTTAGGATTTTTTTGGATGGGGGATAAAGGAGGAGCAGAGGATGTGTGTGGGGGGTTTTTTTAGTCTCAAATTTTGTGGGTAGTTCCCCCCACAGTATATCTATACTTCAATATTTGAAGAAGCTGTTGAGATAAATCAAATAGTGACACATTGACGGATTTACTTGTGTAAGCAATATGGTTGACATATGGCATTGTTATTTATGAATGACAGCATAAATTGTATTACAAAGTCTACTGCAATAATACTGCAGTTTATTGGAAAGCTGCGCCCTTGTCACTGGTATTCAACCTCCCTGGATGTAGTTCGCCTGAGAGCCCAAAGGACAACGGTCCTCAAAAGAATTAAACACAGTTATGTAAGCTAACGCCTCCTGTTTTTTGGGGTTGTTTTTGTTTTTGTTTTGTTTTGCAGCAGTAGAAACACTCCCATCAGAGGAAAGAGGAGACAAAGTAAGGACAATTAGTTCTCTTCCTTTTGCAAAATCACAACCATTGTCACATAGAAATGTTGGCTTCTATTTTTTTCTGAGTCCCTAATGACGAATACACAAACATTTGCATCCCTATCACTAAACTGCTGGTGAGCATATATTTTATATAGAGACTTTTTATAAGCCCAGTTACAGAACAGTAAATTTTAACTGTAGGAAGAAGAGAAGTTCTTTTTGCAGACTGGAGAGGGCCTTATCCTATGATACCTCCCCACCTCCACTCAACTTTCCCCTTCTTAAAAATGGTATTTAAAAGTTACAACGTTGGCTGAGATTTTCACGATTTCCCCTTCTTTT